TCTATTCCTCTGCTGATTGACGGAGCACACTTCATAAAACTTCCAGCCCACTTCCTGTAAGTCAGGCAGGGTCCTTGATAAGGAAGTGGAATGCAGGACAATTAAGTGCAGTGTGAGCCCTGGGAATGTGTGTTTGAGGGCAGTTGTACGCCAGCTGTTGTCAGTGACGTTCCATGCACTCAGTTTAAGCTTGCTCTGGGGGCTGTGCTCGTAATGGAGCCGTGGTGTCTAGTGAGCTAGGCTGCTCCCCCCAGCCTATTTATGTAGAAGTTTCTAGTGGAGATCAGTTTGGGGGATGGCGGCTTAGACAAGTGAAGTATTGGGGCAGAGTGCACAGTGGCTACTATGATTGTATTGCTGCTGACTGGGTACATCTTGGATGAGTAACCTAATCACCCTAGGCCTCAGTTTCTTCATCTGTTATTTGGGTAGCTTAGATAGTGTAGTGGTTACGAGTCAGGCTGCTAACCACAAGGTCAGCAGTTCGAAGCTTCCAGTTGTTTTGTGGGAGAAAGATGAGGCTTTCTGCTCCCATAAAGATTTACAGCCTTGGAAACCCTATACAGGATCTCTATGAGTTGGAACTGACTCCATGGCACACCACCACCACCACCACCAAAGACTGTGAAGTATTTAAGAGTGCTGATAATTAGGAAGAGAGCGGTAAGGGATAACTAAGTGTGTTGATGTTACTGTTGTTACTATGCATTATTTATTAGTAAGCTTTAGTGTTTCAAAATACATAGGGCTTTCAAAAAGTTCATGGAAACATGGAATAGAAAGATAATGGAATTTCTTCATGAACTTTTTGAGGGCGCCTCATACAATACCTGTTCCAGGATAGTTGCTAATCAGTGGATGGCAAAGAGATGAGAAAGGTATGAAACCTGCTTCAGGGAGTCACAGTCTCGTTGGGAAGGAGAATATCTATAGAGAGACATACACACATGACCATGTGTACACATAAACACACACAAATACACATATATACAATGCATGTATATATACAACACACATGCATGTATACATGTTGTTGTTATGTGCCACTGAGTTGATTCTGACTCATAGCAACCCTGTGTAGGGTTTCTGGTGAGTTTGAACTGCCGACCTTACAGTTCAAACTGGACTTTGGGGTCCAGTGCTTTATCCTTGGTGTGGGGTCCAGCGTCACACCAAGAGTACCCCCCCACATGATTACATGCATATGTATACACACACCACACACATATATGGACAAACATAACTGCACACATATGTACACACATATTCACATACAAGAATCTTGGTGTGGCACCATAGGATAACGCACTGGATTGAAAGGTCAGTTTGAGCTGCAAGGTTGGGGGTTCAAACTCATCAGCTGTTCCTTGGAAACCCTATCCAGGGTTGCTATGATTCAGAATTGCCTGGATGGCACTTTACAACAACACCAAATTCCAGACATTGTTTTAGGTACTTAATAACAACATATGCACATACAGAATACACATATAAATACACATACATATGTGCCCACAAGGAGTCCTGGATAACCTACACTGAACCACAAGGTTGGTGGGTCAAACCCACCAGCCATTCTTCAGAAACCTTTTACTGGGTTGTTATGAGTCAAAACTGACTTTAGAGCACTTAACAACAACACTGATGTACACACATAAACATACACGTACACAGAAAGCACAGACTCACACACACACAGGTGCATACAAAACAATGTGCACACCATATATGTACACACACAAATGCACACATATATAAGTATGTACATGCCAAAACCAAAGACGAAAAAACAATTGCCATCAGGCAAATTCTCATGGTGACCCCTCGTGTGTCAGACAGAGTAGAACTGCCTTCCGTAGAGTCTTCAGTGGCTGGGATCTTTCAGAAACAGACCTCCAGGCCTTTCTTCTGAGGTGCTTCTGGGTGGATTCAGCTGCCAGTCTTTCAATTAGTAGTTGGGGGCTTAGCCTTTCTTGTGACTTGGGAATCACACACACACACACACACACACATACACACACACACACACACACACGCATGCACGCACACACACCAGAGCTTACGTACATAATGCATACATACATATACACATGCCTATATACTAGCATGTACACATACAATGGACATATGACTAGACACACATACACACAGGCATGTGTACATGCAAAGTGCTCTTATACACACAGGTGTATGTGTGTATGCCTACACACACTCTCTCTTTCCATATATATACACATACATACATATATACAACTGTGCATATCTGCTTACATATATGTTGTTATAAAGTGCCGTTGAGTCAGTTCTGACTCATAGCAACCCTGTGTAGGGCTTCTGAGGAGCAGCTGTTGTGGTTGTTAGGAGCCATCGAGTCGGTACCGACTCATAGCGACCTTATGCACAGCAGAACGAAACACTGCCCAATCCTGGGCCAACCTCACTACTGCTGCCGCACTTAAGTCCATTGATGCTGCTACTTGGCCAAACCATCTCATTGGGGGTCTTCCTC